GACACAGCAGCGCCTGTAACGGTATCTCCTCAGTCGTATTTCTGCTCCTTTAGCCCCGAAACGTGAACTTACCTTTCGCTGCATTCGTCAACACGCACCACAGCACCGTGCTCACTCCCGTCCCGTACACGCGGCCGGGATGCTACAGAGACACCTGAATATCAATTCTGCTCTGCTCTGCTCTTGAGAAAAGCTCCAGCCGGGTCATAGCTCCGGACGTTTTAAACAGCACTCTTGCAACAATATGTTTTCTGCAACTGATACGTGTACTGAAATGATCAACAGTGAAATATTTTCATATCAGACAAGAAAAGTGTGGCTGTGGCTTAAAATCCACGTGAGTTTTAATTCCAAGATTACCAGCACTATTAAACTACCCGACTAGAATACACCCAGCAGGTTGCAATGTGTAGGATTCATCTGGAGAGCTGCTCCAGGTTTACACGCAGAGCTGAGCTACGGCGAGCTCTCACTACAGACCCCTCTTTAACAGGCACAGCCAGGTGAACGCCACCAGTCACCGTTCGTGGACGCAGAGTGGTGGTCTCTAAAATGAAATCCTGTATTTTTCTAGGATGAAGCGTATGCACTGGAAAACAATGAACTACCCTGACTGGAACTGAGGGAAGGGTGACCAGTAGTTGTCCGACACAGCTGTTTCTTCTTCCTTGCGTTGCTGTTCTATGTCAGTACTTGGCGACTTGACCTGTTGCACAACAACGCTTAAACCAAAAAAAGTTCATTCTGTTTCCTTCTTCACCTCGCGTAACTGCTGCTGACAGGGCGATACTGACAGCGAAAAGTCGATCTGAGCATTAGGTTATCTCCTGAATGAAACAAAACAAGCAGAGACACAGAAGTACATGGAAAGGACTCACGAGCCATCTCTCTTGCAAGATGCAGTAGGTGAACTGAACTATACAGTGGCAGCGGTTGTTTTTAGAAATTATTTTATGTCCTGGACCTGCAGAGGAGGATGGAATTTGGGAAGTAAATGCTGGAATCACTTGAAATTACAACCAGCTTTCAAATGTACCGCAGGTAGATAATCATAGAATCATAGAATCACTAGGTTGGAAAAGACCTTAGAGATCAGATAATCCTCTGACAAAAGTCAGTGACTAGATCCCATAATGCTGAGATTCTCCCACTTCATCTCTGGGGCTGTGGTTCCAGGAAAGTATGAATTGCTCTGGATTTATTTCTTCAGTCACAAAATCCTGATAATGTACCTCCTCTTATATTGTGAGGCTTGGATAAACAAGATCCAGCGGACCTACTACATGGTGATTTGTAAAAAGCCTTTGATGAGGTTCCACACCCAAGGTGGTGGGAAAACAGTGTTATCATGGGGTTGGAGGAAAAGTAATTTTATGGATTTGCTAAAAGGTTATGGGATACAAAAGTTATGGCTGTTTAAAGGCAGGAAGGAAAGAGCACAGCGTAATGGTAGTTTTTTCAGGATAAAGAACAGTTAGCAGTGGGGATTGGTGGGGTCAGTTCCATTCACTATCTTCATCAATGATCTGGAGAAGAGTGCCCATGCAATGACGGAGTACTAAACTTCTCTGGGTAGTTTCATGGCATGCAGAAGGCAAATAAAGCCAGAAGGAGCTCATAAAAAGGTGGCAAATGAGCTTGTACAGAGATAAACACAAGGCAATCCATTTAGGGACAAATAATCTAAGCCAGGCGTACATGGTGCTGAAGAGGCATCTAGCAGCTCTCACTCAGAAAGCAATCTCGGAGTCACCCTTGATGGTTCTCTGAAAGGATCTGTTTAGTGTGCAGGGGCAGCCAAAGAATAACAAACAAAGTCAGCATCATCTAGAGCGGTATTCAGAACAACACACAGAGTCTCATTTTGCCACTCCTGAAAGCTTTGGCCCACCCCTCCTCTTCAGTGTAGGGCATGGTTCTGGCCTCCAGATGCCCAGAAGAATGTAGTGAAGTTAGAAAAAATGAGGAAGAAGTCACCTAAAACGACCAGAGGAGCGTAGCATCTACCTTATGTAAGAAATATGAAAAGATGGGAATTCAGCTTGGATGCTGAGGAGGATACAGTCAAGAATTGTAAAGGCAACGCAGTATTGCACTAAATTCTGTAACACACTAGTGGCACTCACTGAGTGGTAAAAGTACTTCTTTACATCTTGTATGGTAACTATCTGTAATCTGCTGTCACAGGTGCTTATGGAGGCAGATTGTACCAGGATATTCAAAAGAGACAAGAAAAATTAACAGCAAAAGGAATGAATACTAAAGGCTGGGACAAAGTCTGGAACATCCTTAATCCAACCGCAGCTGATACTGCAGAACTATGAGGAATGCAAACAGCAGACACTAACCAGGCTTGTGTGCTCTTCCTAAACATTTCATACCATGACTGTCGGAGGTAAAACACTGGGCACGTACTGCTAACGTGGCCCAAGCAGGTGGGTTTTATGCCCTCATGTTCCTTTTGAGTGTTCTAAGACAAAAGACGCTGAAGTTGCACGGCTGTTCTTGCAGTGCTCTGTCCACGGTAGAACTACAAAGCAAGTGATTGTTTTTGTGGTTCTGTTTTTGACGATTAAGGCACACTTTGTCATCTTGCTCATTTTCCATTGTCCTGTGCAAAAACATAGTCAGCACTAGTACATTTACAGTTATCAAACAAGCATCATGAGGGATTGAGAAACAGCATAACAGGAGCCAGTTGACCACAAACCAGACTTTTTTAAAGAAGGGATACTCAAGTCACTGTCACCCTGATGATTATGAGCAATTCTAAAACAAGCAGATATTAACAATGGTATGAGAAACAACTGCTGTGTCTTGTTTTTCAGTCCTTCCTTCTTGTAGAAAACTAGTTTATTTTCTTCTTTTCCCTTTTTACAGGCTCCGCACTGGGCTAAACCCAGAGTTCACCCAGCATCCAAATGTTCAGCCAGTTTGGTTTCCATCAGAAGAGGCCATTTCATACACTTAGTGATGATTTAAAGTAGTCAAAACCCATGAAACAGACTTTAAAATTTAGAAAGAATGGCCTGAAGTACAGACTTCAATTAGTTTTATTTGCCTTCTGTTCTCTGAGCCTGACACCTTTTGATCCTATTTTCTCAAGAACCATGAAGTCCACATACTTAAAGACCGCACTGGGCTAAACCCAGAGTTCACCCAGCATCCAAATGTTCAGCCAGTTTGGTTTCCATCAGAAGAGGCCATTTCATACACTTAGTGATGATTTAAAGTAGTCAAAACCCATGAAACAGACTTTAAAATTTAGAAAGAATGGCCTGAAGTACAGACTTCAATTAGTTTTATTTGCCTTCTGTTCTCTGAGCCTGTGTGACACCTTTTGATCCTATTTCCTCAAGAACCATGAAGTCCACAAACTTAAAGAGTACTGTTTGTGTTAGGGAAAAGTGAACTTAGCACTTTCAAGAGCTGAGGCCTTAAAAAAAGTATCAGAGGTTGTGAAATGTATGACAAAATTGGGAGCACTAGTAATACTGGAACAGAAACAACGCGACACATGGCTGGGTCTCGGGCTTAATTCAGAATTCTGGCCAGAATTTTCATAGCTATTAGAAGTAATTAGACATAGTTTTCAATCCATTTCTTCATGCAGAGAAAGCAAGCTGTGAAACTTGAGTTGCAATCTAGATGTCCATTGAATTTTGTTGTTTTGACTCAAATTTGTTTCCAGCATGATACTGTAAGAGAGAGAGGAAAAGAGAAATATTTGACATCAGCTACGAAGGCCAACAGTTTGGATGATCCTCTCCTTTGTTAGATGAAATAGGCTCTAGCACTTCTTGACTGAATGTGTTTCAGTGTTTTACGTGAGTTTTCAGGTAATCCAAGGCACTATGTGTTTACCTCCCTTGTCACTGATTCAGGCTTAGTGTCACCCTGGATGTTTCTGCAGCTTCAGACATCTTCTCAATGGATTATCACTTTTCAGAGGCAGTGGTGGGGTGATGAAATTCTTTTCCCTCCTCTTCCACAGGAACCATTACATCATTCCCTGGGAAAGACTCTGTTTCCTGCTCTGGATAGTGCATTGCCAGTTCCTTTTCCACGTTTTCTTGGGCATCGACATTGCTTTCAGATCCTCTAGCAGCACAGTTTTTGCCACTAGGCACTTCTGAAATGGACCCCACAATAACAGTGTCGGCATTCAAGATGTATAATTTCTCTGAAGAAGGAAAAAAAGAGCGCTGAGCATAGTTAACAATTACTGCTGACCCTAGAGATTTTTTGGTTTCATGCAAAATTTTTATTCGGTACTCAGTTTTTCTTCCCCCCCTACCCTGTTCTTTTCTTAATCAGGCATGCAAACCAAGCCCATCACTGTGAAAACACAGAATTCACTAACCCACTACAGCTTTTGGAATTCACAGGTGGTAAGTTGTCTATTTTCATTGCTTATTTATAAGGTGTGTTTAATTTTGAAATGAAACCACTAAACACACTTAAGTGATAAAGAAGGCCTGCACATTTTATACTACACTGTCTGGTTTTACACCACTATCAAGGGGACCCTGGGAAGTTCAGATCAAGTAGATCAAGCTCCCATGGGATGAAGCCACTGCGCGATAGCTACGACTACAGGAGACAGACAAATTAGAAAAGGCAGTAGTATATTCACAAGAGTCTGTTAGAAGCAGCAATTAATCAGGATATGGGGAAGATAGATAAGGAGAATCCAAGGTTTATGCTCCTGCTGTTTCGAGAAGCAACATTACCTGCATTAAAAGCAGCCTTTGGGCAAGGATCAGCACAGAACAGAAATTCTGCGCAATTATCTGGGGTTTTAGGACCAGCAAAGAAGTGAGTTTCTTACCAGTGGAGAATCAACTACAAAATTTTCTGGGATAGACTTGAACCCTGTGTCCAACTTGTTGACCCTACTTCTTTACAAAAGATAAATAAGGCTTTTGTTATGGCTTGGGCCATTACAGTTTATTCAGAAGGATGCTGCAGATCAGACACTCTAGGTTATTGTTCACAATTGCTTAGAGATTTGTTTGGGGGTTTGTCAAATCATCATATTCACACCCAACATCCACTGGGCAACCTGTGCCAGTGCCTCACCACCCTCACCAGGAAGAATTCAGCCCCAATCTTTGTTAGAAGCTTTGGACAGTCTGCAGCTTACTAATAATCTCAGAATGACATTACGTGCCCATGGTTGAAAAACTGAAAGGGTGAGAGACAAGAAAGGCAAGACTCACCAATTCGATTATTTGTGTGGTCTCTCACTCGAGAATCAGCAGGGCATTCTGGGGCATTTCCATTGCTCTGTGTCACATCAGTCAGACTCACATCGGGACTATGTGTTTTTTCTGTGCTGGAGACCAAGTTATTGTTGGTTTCCAAAGGGGGGGTTCTGGCAATTAACTCCTTCTCTTCTGGCTCACTGTCAGTAGTCAGTACCATCTTCTGCCACTACAAATCGGAGAGCAGAAGTGGGGTGAATGGAAAAACAACATAGTGAAGATTGCAATAGGCCTACAGAACCATTCTGTGGGCTCAGAATAACATACTGTACTTCACAGCATCACTGTCACAGGGAGTAAAAAGTTCCAAAGTGCCTACCTGATATAGGAACTTAAAGTTTCTCTGAACTTGGTTCCTGCATCACTTAAGGCCATATTTTAAAAGAACGTTTCTAAGCTAAATTCACAGATTTTCTATGACATTTGCATGCATGTACCTTACGTCCACTGAAAACCAGTTTCCTGTATCTGCTTGGATGCTTTGGTAAATTCTACTGCCTTGTCTGCAATTTAGATGCCAATGAACCTTTATAAACACACCTACTTGTCATTTTGACTTTGTGGCACAAGTCTCATACTGTATGCTCTGTTGCAGGGTCTGCTATCCTGTAACACAGTAGCAGCTGCATTCTGGGGGGCTGAACCTCTGTATAACATCAGTATGAAAGACAGAGGCTGGAGGTAAGAATTTTAAGGGATTTGCTCAGAAAGAACTTTAACACGTTATTTTTCATGTTTAGTTGTGAGATAAGTATCAGAGGACAAACCTGTACAGATGTGTAGTCCTATGGTGAGGGTGTCAAACAGTCAAAACTGAAAATATATGGCTTAACGTCCTCTTAGATTTTGCAAAGACCTACCCCGCTCCTATGGAGGAACAAAACAAGCCAGAGGTTGAACTGGTTGAACTTCAACATGGAATTGCCTCAGCAGGACCTCAGGTAGGAGAAACAAGTTCAGACTAGCTATTATGTGAAGAATTAATTACAAACAGTCCTTTAAATGAGGAGCCAGAATTTGAGAGAGGCTAAAGGTCCTGCATCACAATTTTCTGGTTCTTATCTCTGTTTCTGTTTCCACAAGGTTGGGGAAAAAAAAGAAAAAGACATAGTAAGATTTTGAAATGTGCAGTTTAAAACTCTTGCTCATGTCTGACTCACTATGAAAGCAAGAGTGGAAGCTCCTCACAATTCAGCAATTAGCACCAGTGCAAATTATGATAGCTGATTGCAACCATATTTAGTAGAATAAGTATTATCTTGTAGATAATACTTATTAGTTAGTTATTTAGTAAAGCAAGAGTGGAAGCTACTCACAATTCAGCAATTAGCAATGACTGAAATTATGATAGCTGATTGCAACCATATTTAGTAGAATAAGTATTATCTTGTATGTGTGCAGATATACAACACCTAAAAGCAAACTGATTTTAAAAAAAGGAACAGTCTGAAGAGTGTTTTAGCAGATATGGACATTTAAAGATAACAAGCCCAATAAACTGAGAAGACTCAGAGGATGAAAGTTGCTGTAATTGTACTGAAAGTGGGCGAATGAAACAAAGCTGTGATGATGTCAGCAGCTGAGGAACTGCTTCCTGTTGTTACCATACTGACTGATATTCACCTTGTTCATCTGCAAACTATTCTGTTAAACCAGAAGCTGGTCCTGAGGGAAAGCCTTCCAGACAAACAGTACCCACTGTGTACCCACATTACAGTCATACCAAATCCTACCAAGAGGGAAGGTGACATGGAGGGTGCAGAAGAGGGGTACTTCTTGTGTGACGAGAGCAGTAAGATAAAATGGGACTGACAGAGTTCTCCCAGAAAGCAGAAAAGGCCTGTTCATCCTGTGATTCTGGATCTTGTCCCATAGAATGCAATGTGAATGTCATAAAACCAAACCAAATACTCCCTTCACGAGCAAGATTGGCAGCGTGACATTATTTAACACCACATTAAACATAGCCCAAGGCACGAAAGTAGCAAATCCTAGCACATCTCATCACTGCACCTAGAGGATCATGCATGGCAGAGGAAAGTCCAAACAAAAGGTCTGGCACTCTTCAACAGGACATTAGAAAATATCATTATTTACATTGGAAGGGAAAGCGATCTGTTTTGGAATACTGTTCACACTTACTGCGTATTTGTTCACTAGTTCAGAACCTGCAATGGAAAGAGGAAAAATTCTCAGAAGAAAATTCACAGCAATCACAACAATGTTAGTATTGGCTCTGAAATACCACCTAGCCAGGTCCAAAAGTACCCTACTGCCCAACCCACCTGTGTCATGCTTTCTTTACCACTGAGGACAGACTTACATGACACGGCTGAGGTGAACCCGCAACAAGCTGCTGCCAAGACTGTGAGGTCCTGCTCTCCCCAGAGCCCTCTGTGACCATCCCTATCTGTCCCCACGCCACAACTGGTATTCATCTAATGAAATGATGAACTGATTAAACTTTCCAGATAAGCAGAAGACAGACTGAGTAAAATTAAAAAAAAGTTAATAGCCTTTTATTGGATTAACAAGTTGGACCAGTTCATCGTGTGGTCAGATGAATACTAAGAGGATGGAATTTAATGCAAGGATGAAGGAAGGGAATACTGGGGAAAGAACAAAGGTGAGAAGAAGGGAATGTACAGCATCCTTCTGTAGTACCATGAAGCTAGACGGGCTCAAGTCTGCTATCTAATTTCACCCTGACATGCAACCACCTTTCTTTTCAATGCATCAGCTCTGTAACGCTGCACAGTAACAGCTTCTAAGGTGTAAGGCCAGTGAGGAAGCAAAAATTCCATTTTGAGAAAATTAAGCTGCATGCAAGAGGTTTTAAATCATAATCCTGAATCCATAAGCATAAAAAGCTCAGATGAGCGGTGATCAGGAGAACCTAACACAACAGATGAGAATACATCAGTCAATGGAAATGGCAGTTAATTGGACAAAATGTGTGTATTCTAGGGGGATCTGTACAGGTTGCTGTGGCTAACACTCACGTTTTTTGAACACCCACGTTTGAGTGCCCAGAAGCATCAGCCCGGGCAGTGGGGAGCCAGTGCCGCCTGCTGGTGCCAGCACCCCCAGCTCCTCTCGGGCTCCACGCTTTCACTTAAAGTTCCATATTAAAACAATCCACTTATCCTTTACACACACGGATTACAAGCCCTGGTCCATCAATCACTCACCTTGAGACCTGAGGCCCGATTTGTGCGAAAGGACGGAATGCAGGTGTGCTGATAAAAGAAACCATTCGTTTAGCAAAACTCGTCATGGCTCTTAACAGCTTTACCACACCCAGGAGTCTACAGCCAACCTACAGCATACACATCCTGCTTGCTGGAACAGAGGGAATGTGGTTCTGCAGGCACACCCCACACGTAACTAGGCAAAGCTGCTGAGAGTCAGTGACAGGAAAAATCACTCTTCCTCCCATGCTCAAAGTCCAACCCTATCCCAGGAACAAACAAATACTCAGAAAACACTTCTGGTAGCATTTAATATCAGTGTCTGTAGTGAGAGAAGAAACCACCGGGTGCCCTTCCCCACCCAGCCTGTAGTATCTTCCTCCCTAAATTCAGAGCTGCTTCACTCTTTCTCTCATGTTCTCCACCACGCTGCATGAACAGCTTGCCTACAACCCTCATCTGACCCACCTGCACCAGGCAGTAGTAAACATTCTCTTCCCCAGTGACCCCTACAAAATTTGGGGATATTTGAGTCCCCAGTTGGCACATACTTGGAGATCAAACAGCTTGCTACGTATTGCAGCTTTAAAAACTCACGCTTTCCTTTGAGGATGAGGATCCGCTTCTTGCAAACCTTCCGTTTCCAAAATAACAGCATGCCCACAAGTAGCACTATCACAGAGAGAACCACTCCCCAGAGAACTAGACCTATAGCACAGAAAGGGAAAGGAGTACAGGAAAGGCTAAGGAAAGGCAGAGGGGGAACTATGTTCTATGTTTGGGCATAGAACCACGGACAACATTTCACAAATTGTAGAGAATTTGCAGGAAGCTCCCACATAATAAGCATTTACTAAAGATATATCCAAATAAAACACGCTAGACAGAGTAAATGCTGTATCTTTGTTACCTCCCATTGTCATCTCCTCCCTGGCTGAGGTGGGGAAAGTGGGGTTTTCCGTTGTGGCACGTAAGAGGATACTATCAGTGGTCACCAGGTTGTCCTCAAGCCTCCTTAGGTCAGAGTTACTTGTTTCATTGCTGACTCTCATGGTGAAAGTGCTTGGGGTGAGGTAGGTGGGCAATTGGTCCCCACATACCTGATCGTGTGTGGCATTTCCTTTGATTAGTGCTACTTTGTTTAACTTGGCACAGCTAGGGAATGAGAGAGAACAGTGCATCATGCCTTTTGTCATTTTTGTACCACCTGCATTTATTGCTTTCAGTCAAAAAGTCATTAACCTCCTTCTCACCCCTGTGGCATTAATTCTTGACCTGGATGCAAACCCGACACACATGTGCATCTATAATTCTTACTATTTAATAAACTAGAAATGAGACAAGAGGGATCCCTCCCTCCCTTCCTCCCTCCCTCCCTTCCTCCAGTACAGAGCTGTGCAACAGGTATAGAGGCCTTCTAGGCCCAAAGCTATCCCATTGCCTCTAAGATACATCTGTATACTTTGCACAAGAAGTGACAGGTGTCCCTTTTCATCCTTTATTAACTTCAGTTAATTGGTTAGTCACTTTAAAGACCTCTGGACTTACTTCGTGTGGGGCTTGCAGATGTCAGTGCTGGAGGTCAGATCAGAGAAGGTCCCAGAAGGACACTCTTCACAGGTAACATCATTTGTTGAGGTGCCTGAATAAAAATAATGACCACCCAAAAGGCATCAGGTCCAGGCCTATGGATCAGGAGAGGCAAGCTAGACAGGTAGGAATTCCTACCTCTGACTTTGACTCCAAAACCAGGCTGGCAAAGAGAGTGCTGCTGGCATCGTACGCAGGTGTTCAGAACAGCGGTTTGACAGAACAGGCCTGGTCGGCACTCACACACGCGGCTAGAATTGAAGGAACAGGGCTCTTTCTCCACAAGGTCAGACTCTGTGGGGAAGAAACAGATGTGGTAAGAAAAGGATCACCCGGCAAGGAAAACACAAAGCAGGGGCTGAAGACGAGCAGCATGAGTTCAACGGCTCAGGGAGCAGAACAGGCTGCTGGCACTCTTCGTGATGGCAGCTTCAGTTATGAATAATCGGAGAATCCCGTAGACAGTGGCTTGTAACATAAGACAGCAGAAATCAGACTTGGATAGCTTTGGATGAGAGAATTTTTAGGTATTCCCAGGCCACATGGAAACAATACTGATTATGTGCAGGACAGCATTCTGCTCCCCAGTAACTGAGGATGGAAAATTTTGCTGCTGGAAATTCTAAGTGAATAAAATACAAATAAAGTGTAATATAGAGAGAATATAACTGTGAGGTGTGTGTGAGGGCAAGCAAACCTTTTGCACATGACACGCAAGCGTCACATCGTGGCTTTTGGAATTCTTCATTCACATATTGTTCAGGTCCACATCTCATGCAGTCTTCATCGGGGTGCCTAGGACACGCTTTCTTTTTAACATAGCCTGGAAAAGAAAACCAAAATATGCAGGGCACCTGTTCAGAATCACAGGAGACAACTTCTGAAGCGTTCTTGTTTGTTCATTTACCTGTCAGACACACTACCACAGCCTTCTCCCTGTACCTGTCATTTGTTTCTCTAGGGCCCCTTTGCCTCTCCCGTTCAAGTGTGAAAGGGATCACAGCTGTCCCGGTACAGCAACACTGTGGGTGGAAGTATCACCGTCAGTATGGATCGCTGCAGAACGGGCACATGGCAAGTCATTTGCAGACAGAAAAGACCACCAAGTCTAGTGTGAGGGCAATATTGTCCTGCCATCACTAAGTTCCCAGGAAATTGTTTTTCATGTTTTCTTCTTGACTGTAGCAACTGAGTGCTGATAATTTGCTACCTAAGGCATCACTTTTCCTTTCAAAACCTGCCAGAATCATGCCCAAGGATTCATGCAGGAACAACCACATGTCCCATGTTGGGAAGGAGAGGTAATTCTTTGCCTGTACCCTATGTACCCCTAGGAGGTTTGCAGTAGGTTGCTTTCTGAGCGGTCCTGCTAGTTTTACAGTCGCCTTCACAGCTGTGAGATGGTTTAATTTTCCAGTTGTTTTCCTTTAAACAAATAAAATTACGTTTGTCTTTCTGATGCTCAATGTATATGCTCTACGCTTTCTTTGCTCAACTCTTCCAACTCGCCTGGCCTCGCTGCTCATAGCTGGCAAGCACGCTACCCTGGATCTCACAGACCTTCTATGGATATGCAGCATGTCTGAATTAGATGACATCTGGAGGTCTTTGCCAAACTTAAGCTATTCTATGACTATGTTTGTCTGGTAATCGCTTTCTAGTGACTACCTTTTAAAAGCAGCCCTCCAGCAAGCTCTTAACCACCTAAGAGTATAGGAAAGGCTGGGACAGAAGCATTCATACTGTTTCAGCTCCTGAAGCAACAGATGAAGTATTCCACCACTTGCCATAGTGCCAAAGAAATTGAAAGGCACAGTGGTCAGCTGTGGCCTTGCCAGGAGGTAGAAATAACTACCAGAGGGTAAAGAACAGTGGCAGCTGCAGAAGCAAAAGGAAAAGCTAAAGCAGCAACAAAAAGATAGGAAGAGTTGAATTTTCTCAGGTAGAAAAGAAGAAAGAAATGGAGCCCAGTTTCAGCATCCAGTCTGCATCACCCAATCACAAGGAGGTAAGCACAGGGAGGAGGAACCTGGCAGGGAAATAACTCCCCTACTATGAATTTTGGCAAGCATGATGTAGGAGTGCAGGTAAAAACAGCTCTGCTGTATTTGGCCCACTAAATAACACCAGACAAGCCTGGACCACATCACTCCCACCTCCTTGAAACTACTTGTCTGGGACTATTCTCTTCAAGAGGGGACCTGACTGCTGAATCTCAGCACTCAAGCTGCACACGTGTCTACCTGCATGTGTGTCATTTTCCCCTTCCTTCCCCCAACGACCCAAAAGCTTTAACTTCAGTTATTTGAGTTTTCCTGTACACATGGGTCCCTCCCTTGGGGGACACGTGCCCCAGGTGCAAAGGCTTTGAAGCTTGCCTATCAGTGTCTTCTGGTGCTGTTCTCCACTGCCTGTGTTCACAGCTCAACAACCAGATAAAAGCCTGAGCAGTAGGAGTACCAGCTGCAATCACCTGTACAGAGAAATGTACTGAAAGTAAGTAGACAAAATAAGTGCTTTAAGTGTTTTTCTTTTGTGAGTATGTGCACTCATTCACTCCTGAGGAATTGCTGTTAACTGTGGGTGGGAAATTATCTTGACTGTTGACTACAGCACTGCCTTGTAGAGCTGTGTATCTGATTTAGAGTCTAAAACAAAAAAACAACCAAACAAAAAAGGTAAATCCCATAAACAGAATAAACAGAAGTGTAGTGGAACACCAACTTCTGCATAATGTGAGCTGTTCTAGCATATACCATTATTTCCTATGTAAGTCTCTGTTCCTCCCCCTGGCAAGAGAGAAATATTTTGTTCTGTGATGACAAAAAGTAAATACTCATCTGGTATCCCAGGTATAAAGTCTCATTTTAGTTGCAGAAGTAGGTAAGTACATGGAAAGAGATATGACAACTGCAGATTAGAATGATCTTTTGAGATCTGGTTTGAAGCTTATCTTGAAATTAACTTTGAAACAGAGGATGGCTTGCATGTGGGCCAGTGTACTCAGAAGCTACACATCTGTAGGCTGGAACACCATGGAAAGCAAAGCCAAGCTGCATCAAAAGTTGGAGATGCTCCACTTCAATTAAATGGGATTTTAGAAGAGTTTCTCTTTCTTTGCAGTGAGCAGTTGAGTTCGTAGCAGATATGATCAGGTTATTGTTTGAAGGGCTACTGGAAGATTAAAATGAAAAAGGATTCTTACGAGTTTCTGTTGTGAAGGAGAACCTGCAGGATGTGAAGAGATGTCCACGACTGATGTGAAGATGTGGCAAATAATGAGTTTCAAGAATAAGCAGAAGTGAAATGATTGAGACTGGTGGCTCATGACAGCCAGATGTAAATCAGATCTCTGCTTTTCACAAGACCCCACCATGACATCTGCCATTGTGGGAGCTTTTGCAAAGTATGGTTTTGAAGGAGAAAAGAGCTTTTCTTGGGACTGGCTCAGAGTCAGATCCCCACCCTTTTTCTTCTTTTACAAGACCAGTTTCTCCATCCCTTGACCTTGTTTATTTATACAGCTTCTGAACGTTTCTAGTGGTGTGGCCAGCAGTACAAGAGGTCCCAGCGGGAACCGCAACGGAACTGACCATAAATGCTAGCAACCAAGCACTAAACCCCTCTGTCTTATTAGAGCACAAATAAATGTCAGAAATTTCCTTTCAGAAAAGAAAAAAAGAAAACAGAAAAAGAAAACGTTTCTGTGAGAAGAGCTGTGTGATGGTGAAGTACCAAAAAATGCCCCACCCACTGAGGGGGTTTTGGGCCAATAGGGGGAGTTTCAGACATTTCCAGAACCCTTGTCTCACCAAGGTGTTTCCTGCTTCTGACCTCACGTGCCTCTGAGTCACAACGAGCTGCTGGCAAAACTCTCTTTGTCCCCTGAGGAGGGGCTGGTCCCTTTCTCATGTGAGGCACTTTCTAAACTGTTTTGATTACGAGGATAATGACAGATTTTCCACATCTGCATTTGATATTTTTGTCTCTGATCAGAAACATTTTTAGGCCAATTTCCCTGTGCTATTTCATACCCTGAGGCAAGCTGGAATGAACTCTTAGACCTGCCTATTTCTAGCTACTTCAGAGTACCAAGTCAACCGACAAAAGACATTCACAATTCTAGCAACTTACCTTGTCTGCAATTACAGACTGTTTGCACGCAGACTGAGCAGGAGCAGGGCAGTGGAGAACAAGTTCATGGCTGGATCTACACTACATAGTGATTCATGAAGTTGTACTTTTCTTCAGGGACAAAAAAATGCAATTCTGCCAATACACATGTTTACTCTGTGAGAAAGGCTCCCTGTTAATTTGACTGAATTATAAACATACTGACCTGAGGGACACTGGTAACAGCAGCTCCGTGAAGTTTCATCATAGAACCAATTCTCATGTGTACCACAGGAATGAGATGGGGTTAATGATGTCTAGAAATTGAAACAAACAAAAGACACAATTCAAAACCAGTCAGTTCTGTATGAGTGCAGACCCCGGTATCAGTCTCAAGTGACGATAGCAGCAGACAGTAAGGAAAACCTTACAGCTCTTTGGAAGTTCTAGTATCCCCAAAGCAACTAAAGTGCTGGTGCGCACATGCTTAAGCACAGATTGCGATATTCAGTGTATTTAGCATTTCTTCACTCAGCATTTAAATTACTTCTCTGCAACTCATTTAAACATAGGAATGGAATAATGTAGCCCAACTTTTGTATCAAGCATTTCAGCACTCAGAAACTAACTCATTGTTTCATACAATAAAAAGGGCAGTGGCATTCACAGGGTGGTAGAGGTTGGAAGGGACACCCTACAAAAATGTTTTTCAGCCAATGCTCCAAAAATACTTTGAAACCTAACTGCAGGATCACTAAGATTACTAAGAAAAGCTTGTCTATTAGTCTGTATCTCCTTCAGAGATCTTTTAGCAGTTAGCAAATAATAAAAAAAAAGGGCTAAAAATCTCTGTCCTGAAATGATTCCATATTAGTTTGAGAAAAAGATATTTTAGAAAATAATAAAGGAATCCCAAACATCTGCAACAGACCTCCTGCTCTGCATGCACTGGAATTAGGGGTGGTGTCACAGTAGCATCATCTAAATCTAGTTAGATTGGCTGTAATCCACAGAGATAATTCTTGTTTGCAGGAAACAAGCCTTTCTTTTCAGTTATTTATGCACCCATAATGCTTGAATTTAGTGATCTAAAGGTGTGTTTATTGTAAACCAATAAATTGCTTTACTTACCACTCACAGAGAAATCCTACACTGAGAACAAGAGGCTTTTTGCCTTGAAAAGAATGTGTCAAATACTCACACAATGAAGCCCTTATTCAAATAACTAATCCCACTTCTATGGCGAGTGAAGGTTTTCAGAAACAACCTTTGGTTTGACTACATAACTGATACTTGTTTGGTTAAAAAACCCACACATGGTAGTTCTAATATTAGCTTAGAAAATGAGACTCAGCTATAAATTGTCTCAAGAAGCAAATAATAGGACTTCATTTTTGTATGGCAGAGCCACTACATGCTCTGGGAAACTACAGTGCTAAGTTTTCTGATGAGAAAAATCTGCTTTTTGAATTTGGTGTCTCCCTTAATAATCCCCTAAAAATGTTGTTATCTGAATTTCATTTTCAGTATTTGCTAGAAGGTATAAATGGCAATTTTTTGGTAAAGACTCAATCAGCAGAGTGCCCAGAGATTTTCCCACATGATACTGGTAGAGCAGCTGAACGTTTCAGAAAACGTACATCTCACTTTCTGCAGATGAATTTCCCATTGGCCTCTGAAATAATACCTACCTACTGTTTCCTCCCGCTTTTGCATGCAGTACAGAATCTTACTACCTAATTTCACAGCCATAGTCTCCTGTTTAACAGACTGCTCTTTTCACAGCAGGACCATAGAACGCAGAAGTTATTTAACTTGCCTCAGGTTACATCAGAAAAGAGGAACTTTCAGTTGAAGAGGAAATTAAGAAAAGCGCAAGAAATAGAAACATATTGAAACCATTACATTTCATCCAGCTCCAGTAATAGAAGTGAGAAATCCTGCCTGACACATTTCTGCACTAACCACTGGGCCACACAGCCTCCCTACAAAGCATTTTTCTAGCCTACTGTAGAGAGGAAATAGCAGATGCCTGCTTGCTCAGCCTGAACCGAGTCAGGTTCACAAATGCGCACCCTGCATTTTTCTTTTCTGAAGAGGAAGCCCTAGGCTGTAGGAAAAGGAAGTGGAATCTCCCTGCATCTGCGTGGAGAAGCACCCTGGTTAGCCACCCACCCTGAGCCTAAACCGAACAGCAGGAAATGACACGAGGAGACCAGTCACTAGACAAAGGGTCACCCAGGAGCCACTTTAGTGACATGAAGTGAATTAACTAATTTTATGAAGAAAACCTAAGGAACAATAGCATCCTGGCTGTGGCTAAATCACCCTGGATTAGTTTCTCTGTAAAAGCTGTGGGAAGTCACCACAAAACCCTCATCTTCTCTTCCTGGTTCTCCTAGGAAACCAACTCTGGCTGCAAATGATGTAGAATTTTACATCAGGGTGGCAACAAAATTCGTGAATGATTTATGCAGTGCATAAGCTTACAGCTTATTTAACTGTCTCTTTCGTGGTTTATATAAAAGACTAGTGTCTGTAAAAGTGTGAGGGAGGGGCTGCTTTTAAAAACTTACCTTGTCTAAAATACCGAAATCATGAGTTTAGGATTAGATTCTGCTCTCAGTTACGGTGATGCAAATTCTGATTATGGATCTGCGCTGATGCCAGTGCTGTGATGAATTATTGCATGAACCAGGCACAGATACTACACACATTAGGAAAATACACATATGAACGAGCGTACTCAGCTTTATCATTTTCTTCTTTCCACAAGAGGGCAGCTATATACTACAGCCAGCCACGTACTACAGCCAGCTACGTATCACGACAGCCACAGCTTCGCAACAAACGCTGCTTTCCAGTACCCAGTTACGAGCACAGCTCTGCAGCCACCCTTACTGTTCACTGAGCCAAGGCCAAGGTGCTCTGCTGTAGAAAGAAGAAGATTTTAACAAATCCCATGATTTCTACGGCTCAGAAACCGCATTCATAGAATCATAGAATC